GAGAAGAGAAGAGAAGAGAAGAGAAGAGAAGAGAAGAGAAGAGAAGATATGGTGGACTGGAATGGAATAGAGAAGGAGAAAGGGAGGAGGGGAGGGGAGAGGAAAGGAGAGGAATGGAGAGAAGAGAAGAAGAGAAAATATGGAATGGAATCAAATGGAACAGAACGGATCGATACAGAATTTGAGAATAGAATGGAATAGGTCAAAGGTCACTTTTCTGAGTGCTGCTGTAACTTTGAACAGTCACTAAATGAACAGTTGTAAGTTGCAACATTTATTCCTCCCTCCTGCTGTTCCCCCACCCCCCCCCCCCCCCCCCCCCTTTACGAGGTGGTGCTGCAGAGGCTTCCATGCGCCTGGGAACCACAAATGTACAGTCGCCTTGGACGATGCCCCTCCTGTCCCTTTGAGGGGGGCTCTTAGATGGCCTGGGGAGACGGGGCGGGGGGCGGGACAGACTGGAAGCCAGAGAGTTCGCCCAGAGGGCCCCTTCCCCCCCCCCTTCCTTCTCTATCATCTCCATCCTCCTCCTCCTCCGTTTCCAGTTTTGGAAAAAGGGGGTAAAAGCCTTGGAACAACAACGGGGAAAGCGCCCTCTCGGGAGGGATTCCTGGGGGCTCCGTTGGGACCAGCCCGGACGTGCAATTCGCTGAGCCCAGGAGCTTCCCCCGCCCGCCCAGAAGCGCGAGCCCCAGCAGACGGAACGACCGAACCGCTGAGTGGGAAGGAACTCGGGAGGTCTTCTAGTCTAACCCGCTGCGCGAGCAGGAGAACCTCCACGAGGGGTGTCCGACTTCGGCATTGGAAGATTTTAACCTGGGGGCTTCACCCGCCGGACCCCCCCCCCCCCCCCGCTAGCCTTAAAAGTTCTCAAGGTTGGGGGGAAAAAAACCGTGACAACCCCCAGGGGGCATTCAAACGCCAGGGGGGGCAGTCGATAACACGCCCCCCACCCCGCAAAGCGGGCAGGGGGTCCCCCACCCCGCGAGGCGTCTCCCGCGCCTAGAGGCCGAGAGAGGCCGGCCCTTCTCCCTGCCCCGGAGTGAGGTGGGGAGGGGGAAGGCTATCGGGGGTCACCGCGCCCTTTGGGGAAAGCCACGGAGCCCGCCCCGCCCCGCCGTCCGGCCCCCGCTGACGTTTCCCCGCCGGACCCCCGGGCGCCGAAGGAGTCATCCGGAGGCGTGGCGCAAGGCGTGGGGGGTTTCCCAGCCCGGCCCTCCGGAGGGGAGGAGAGGGGAGGGCGTGAGGGGCTCCGCACTTTTGCCCCAGAAAGGACTGGGAGGCGGCTCAGTCGCGCAGCCGTCGCCATGGGGTCCGGTCGCAGCCCCCTCCTCCTCCTCCTGCTCCTCCTCCTCTTCTGGGGCGACTTCGCCCTCTGGGGATCCCTGCACTCCGTCTCCGGGCTCTGTAAGTGGGGCGAGGCGGGAGGGGGGACGGGGGATGCCCCGTCCAGAGGGGTCTTTTGTTGGGGGGACCCCGAGAGCCCCGCCCCGTCGGAACGCCCCAGGTGGAGCCTCCGGGATGCGCCTTGGACGCCCAAGAGGGAAACCCCCCACCCTCACTGCTCTGCGCCCCCCGAGACCCCCGTTGGGCTTCCCTGGAGCTGCCCTCCGTCCCCCGCGAAGCCCCAGACGGGAGAGGGGCGAGGGAGGCTCTGCCGGGCGGGCTTTCTTTCGGCTCCTTCGGGCAAGACCCCCCACCCCGGCTGCCCAAGGACGCCGCCCACCTCGGAGTCCGCGCCCTCCGCGAACGGCCGTCGGAAGGCAGGCCAGGCGCGACCCGTATGGAAGCGGGCGGTGGGAAGGGGCGAGCGGGAGCGGGAAGGTCCGGCTCAGCCCGGCGGGCGCCAAGGGCCACCCCGGAGGGTCCCGGCGGAGCCCGGCACGCACTTCCGTTCCCGGGGAGGTTGCGTTTGCCCGATGTGCGTAAACTCCAAGGCGGGAGGGTTGGGCGAGGCCGATGAATCACGCAGCTTCGCTCCCGCCTGGGAGGCACCCTGGCGGGCACCTTGGTTGCAACCAGCTCCTCGTTCAAAATCCCGGGCCGGTATGGAAGGGAGACGCCGAGGAACGGAGGGTCCGGTCCCCGCCTCTCCCCCACCCGCATTGCCCAGGCAAAGGCTGCCGGAGAGGATCGCAGCTGCGCGCCCGCCGGCTACTTAAACGCTACGTGGACGGGTTGATTGCATTTCTTTGCCGCGCAGCTCCCCGACAAGGTGACTCTGGGGCGGCCTAGAGAGGATGAGACCAAGTGGGGAAAAAATGACCTTACAATAATACTAATAACGCCATTAAGGGTAGTAGGATTAAGAACATAATAACACTAACACCCAGGAACGGAGCAGGGGGTTACCAGGCTTGAGATCAATACTGATAGAATTACAGAGCGTCGGAGTTTCTAGGCTCTGCGAGGTCATCTAGTAGTCCACCCTCTCCGGAGCCAGGAGGCTCCCTGACAGATGCTCCCCCCTCCTCTTCCAACGCACCAATAAAGGGGAGCTCGCTGCTTCTCTAGGGTGTCCAGCCAGAGTCAAACCTTGCTTAGTGTCCATGCTTATTGCTGTTTTGTTGTCCTGTCTCGGGACCAATCCTGTCTTCCCCATGACGAGCCCCTCCGATGCTTCAAGAGAGCTACTCCAGACAGGAGGTCTTGCCTTGCCTTGCCTCCTCTCTCTCCTCCCTCTTCTCTCCTTTCCCCTCCCTCTTCCTTTCCCCTTCTCATCCCCTCTTTCTTTCCCTTCCCTTCCGCCTCCAAACATTTCCTCCTTTGAATGCTGACCAGCTCCTACCCTCCTGGTAGCCAAAATCCTTCCTCAAAACTCAGGCCCCACAGAACTGAAGAGCCCGAAAGAGAGGAAGGGAACCGTGGCTCCTTCCCAGCCAGAGTCTCTGCTTCTCTAGGGGTTTGGTCAGACTGAGTCACACTGGTGGCTTCTTTTGGGTTTATAATCCAGAAATGACCCACCCCCCACCAAGCCCCCGCAATGCTTCCCAGAAGTCGCTCCCACCCACCCCGCACCCCCAGTCCTATTTGTGACATCGGTGTTGTCCTTTTCCCCTATTCCACCCTGGACTTTGCTTCTTCTGCCTCTTTTAAAACCTCTTTAAAACCTCTTTACCTGATAGCCATCTTTCCGTTCAGCCTCCCTGCGCAGACGGGCTGTGCTTGCTTTGTGACGCGTTTGGGGAGAATTTCGGCAGGGTTAAATTGTTCCTTGGAATTCCTTGCGTCAAAGCGCCTCCCTTGATTTGCTCTCGGATAGCAGGCCTTGGTTTGGTTTAAAAGAATTGGCCATGAATGAAGGGGAATTATACCAATCAGAGCCAGATCTGACCAGGTCACCCATTGCATTCAGATTTATCAGATTAACATAGTGGGAAGGGACCCTTATAGGTCATCTAGTCCAACCCCCTGCCCAAACAGGAGACCCTACACTGTTTCAGGTGGTCCAGGAAGAGGCTGAGCTGAGATGATTTAGAAAACGGCTTTGAGTTCTGACGTCTCTCTCTGTGCACGAACTAAACCACCCAGTCAGTTCAGATTAAACATAAATACATTTGGATTGGAGATTTTGATCCCGGTTTAGAAGACGGGTTCAGTCTTGTCCTTAGGCATGAAATCCGGGTGGATGACTCAATCGTCACAAATATGAATCACTTGCTGAGGGTCTGAATTTTGATCATGTGATCATGGGGATGTTGCAATGGTCGTAAGTGTGAAAAAGAGTCATAAGTCATTTTTTTTCCCAGTGATGTTGTACAGGTATTAGGGGACTTATCCTGGGGAGTTGGAACTTTAACAGGCTGGGGAATTCTGGGTGTTGAAGTCCACAAGGCTTAAAGTTGCCCAGGTTGGAGACCCCTGGTTTAGAGGGCTGCTCTATCCCCGCCCCCTCACCCCACACCTAGAGCACCTACCACGGAGCCAAGGTTCAAAGCTTCCAAATCTCCTCTCTTGCCAGTTGAAGGGAGCTGCAGCATCTTCCCCAATGATTCCCAACGATGTGGGGAGCCTAAAAACCGTTTTTTCTACAACATCACCTCCAAGAGCTGCGAGCCTTTCGTTTACCATGGGTGCCCTGGGAATCGCAATCGCTACCACACCATTGAGGAATGCCAGCGCTACTGCGGAAACATTGGTGAGTCCGGCTGTTGGGCAGGGAGGGGTCTTTGGGAGGGGTCTGCTGAGCCCCTGCGGTGTTCTGACTAAGGGTTATTCAGACACTAACAAACACACTTTAGTCCCAAAGCCCTTTCTTCTTTATTGCAATTTTAGTCATTCACAGCCCGTAATGAGTCCCAAAATAGTTTGTAAAGAGTCCCGTGAAAGTCTGGCAAAGTCCTTCAGGATAAGGCCGATCAGCACCCACCTTTATCTCCCTTGAAATGCTGCCAACAACTCAATTTCCAATTAGTTATACGAGGCCAAACGGAGCACACATTCAACATGGAGCTTGCCAGGAACACATTCATTGCTTCGAGGCGGCAAACAAAGAACGCGAAGACCCCGTTCGGGAAGGCAGAAACTCCCTCCAGGCCGCGATGCTCAATGCGCTTCAAAAGGAACAAGGGACGAGGGAGAAGTCCACATCTGACAGAGGTCTTCAATCACAAGCAGCTCCTTCCCACCATTCTAAGAAAGCCTCCTCCCTCCCAAACCGGCTAGTTCGCAAGAGGGTTCTAGTGTCTATTGCCAATTCTCTGCTGCCGGCTCTCACCATCCTTCCAGAACATCCTCCCATCGTAGCAGCGCATCTAAGGCCTCCAAAGCCGCAAGTTATGCTGATAGGCGGCAGAAGCTGAAGTAGAAGCTGCTGTAGCGGATGCAGATCTACGCGCCACAGAGGAGGTAGCACGGCAGAAGGCGGCGGTAGCGGCTCTACAATCAGAAATGGCCAAAGTTCAGGCCCAATTGGAGTTGGCCGAACGGCAAAGAGACGCCACAACAAAGACGTCACGGGCCACAGCATGGCGGAAGATGGCCGGTGTCACCTCCCTCCAATTCAACCTCGAAGAGTTGGGAGAAGAGAGCCCAGATACACAGGTCAAAGCCTACGTGGATGAGCAGCACTCGCTACAAAACGAGCAGATGGAACCGCCTCCGTTGCCTAGCAGTCTCCCAGAACCAGAGAAGCACAGGGATGAATCTCAATCACAGACTCTATACGTCAGTTACGCAACTGACGTTGTACGACCTAAAGTACGAGATTCACTTCCCACCAACAGCAAACCTTCCCCAACTGATGTTGTACGTACTAAGGTCTAAGATCCTCTTCCCAGCACCAGCAACCCTACTCCAATGTCTCATGGCCTGCCAGGTGAGCAAATTAGCCCACCACTGATCACAACGACTTCTCGACAAGTAGACATGCCACTGACGACACCCGCCATGCTCAATCCACAAGCAGTACCATTCCAGCCACAACCTCCACACTACCCGAGCTCACAGGCACAACAAGATAACTGTGGCCAGCCTACACAGCAGCGTGAAGCTCCACCATTGCCTCTGGAATGGCAGAACGACATCCTCTGTAAGCACTGGGAGGAAGGCTACAACCCATCGTTGACATACAACTCGAACCTACCCTACGAGAAGCCAAGGGAAGACCCCTCTATGTTAATGCCTCAACCCAACTCTACAAATGATGCAGACTACTGGAGAGAGTTGGCAGTAAGCAGAGGAAAGCTAGATTTGGCCACCAACGGTGTATACAAATTCTCTGATGAGCTAGGCGGTGAATATCTCCTATGGAAGAAAGTTTTCCTGTGCCCCATTCAGGCTGCACACCTGGAATACGATGAAGTACTCATACACTTGGTGGCCTGGCTAGGACCGCAGTCTGCCAGAGACACAAAGGCACTTTATACCTCCCACTTAGATGACCCAGACACTGCCCTACGGTTGTCATGGCAAAGACTCTACAGTCCATACAGCGCTGCCTCAGACGTACAATAAACACTCCTAGATAGCCTACACAGATTTCCTAAAATTCCTATTGGCTTCAACATTACTTTGCTTTATCACAAATCCAAATTAACTGTCTTTATACTGATGGGCTTCAGGACTTCAAATTAACCATCTTTTTACTGTTCTGTATTCTGTACAGTGGTAGATTTGTCTTCTGTACAGATGCAGATAGATAAACTCAACAAAACGTCCATAACAAAGTACATTTATTAGTTCATCAGGTATCCTCATAACTCACATTTGTGATGAAGTTCTTCTTTAATGACCAATCCTCTGCATATCTGTCTTGTAGGCAAAAAGATGGTTATTTTCTATCGTTTTTCTCTCATCTCGTAGTGATAGAAGTAGAACAGTTACCATGAGTCCCTGAGTTCAGCCAAGAGTGAGGAAAACTCCCCCAACCCATTGAGGGTCAATTTAGTGACCAATTAGGATTACAGATATGGTCACGTGACATGGACTACATTTCCCAGGATACCTTAACTACATTTACCATGATGCATTCCTCTAAGGGGACTGCTCACAATTGCTATGTAACTATCTAATTCCCATACACTGGCTGGACAGCACAGAGCTTCAGGTTTCAAACTGACCAGTATGAACAAAGTTGCTTCCTGCAGAGGCTCCTGTCCCTTTGCTCCTTCTTTATGTCTTATGGGAGGGCCAATCACCTCCAAGCCTTTTGTCTTAACTGTTCTTGCCTTTTGGCAGCTCTGTGCACATGCTCACTGGTAACAGGCTCCCCTTGTTCCTCTGTCCTACTGCTGCCAGATTCTGGAGGCTCCAGAGTCCGCACATAACTCCTCCCCAGATTCCCGGATTGGCCCATGTTCCTCCCCACTGTCCGACTCTGCTGCCATCTCCTCAGGCTGACAGTGACCACAACATGCAGCATTTGTTCTTCTAAACTTTGGGGGGGGGGGCTGCCCCTGTTCTCCTTTGGTGCATCTCAGAGGGGAGTATGGGTTGGGGGGAGGCTCCCCTCTTTCCCGCACCTCCTCTGCCCTCCAACACCCACTGTCTCTGACAGGGTTTGCCCTACACCCTTTGTGGGGCTTCCCAGAGCCCATCGGTTGATTCTGTCTTGCAGAGAAGCCTGGCTTCTGCCCGCCGAGCCCTCGCGGTGCTTCAGGGCCATGCTGGACAAGATGTTTGCATGACGGTAGCTGCCCAGAGATGGAGAAGTGCTGCTCCTATGGCTGTGCCTTGTACTGCATGAAGCCCGTCACAGGTGAGACCCACAGCCAGGTGCTCCCGGTGGGGAGGGGGAATGCGGGCCATCAGCAATTCTGGGCAGGCCACACAGGCCACCAGGGCCCTCCTAGTGGAGCTGGCAAGCCAATGGCGGAGCTCCCAGCACACCTGGAGATGCTGGGCATGGTTGAGGGCACCGGGGCCCACCAGATGTTTGGGGGTGCAAGCCCAGTCAGGCCTCATCTAAGCACCAAAAATTCCATGCCATCATGTCATGTCACCCTCACTGGTACTTGGCCTCTTCTAAAGATTCAAAGGGATTTGTAGTCTGCTCTGGGCCCAGGCACCAGCCTGTCTGATTCCTTCCTTCCAGGGGTGGGATTGACATTTTTTAACAACCAGTTCTGTGGGCGTGGCTTCAGCAATGGGCGTGGCTTGGTGATCATGTTATTGGCTGGGCAACGGCCAACTCAACATCACTCACATCAAGGCACGCATCTCCTCGCCTGGCCTCTCATGACTGTTGGGGATGCTGCAACAGTCGTAAGTGTGAAAAATGGTCATAAGTCATTTTTTTCAGTGCCATTGTAACTTTGGTCACTCCACAAAAGCAAAGTAGCAGCAAAGGAGGGGACAAAAAACTCCAAAGAAGTTCCAGAGACAGAAAGTCTAGTCCTGCCAAGAATGTAATAAGGGTTAATGGAGAGGCAGTTTCTGTAAGCAACACCAGAATGTTTCCTTCCTGCCTTCCTTACAGGATTAGCCCTGTAATTTATTCTAACAATCGGTTCTCCAAACTGCTTAGAATGTTAACAACCGGTTCTAGCGAATAGGTGCAAACCTGTAGAATCCCACTCCTGCTTCCTTCCTTCCCTCATTCCTTCTGCCCTCCCCCATCCATATCTTCCTTCCTTCCCTCTCTGTTTCTCTCTCTCTCTCTCTCTCTCTTTCTTTCCTCCCTCCCTCCCTCCCTCCCTCCCTCCCTCCAAAACATCCATATAGCTGCCCACCTCAGGCCAACCTCTATCCCCTTCCTCTCTCCCTGCAGACCTCTGCCAGTTGCCTTCTGAACCCGGGCCTTGCGATTTAAAAGTGAAACGCTGGTTTTATGACCCGAAGATCCAAAGGTGCAAGAAATTCACCTACGGGGGCTGCGCCGGGAATGCCAACAACTTCAAGAAACATTTGGAGTGCCGCTTGAGATGCCGCAAGAGAGGTGAGTGTCGGGGTGGGACACAAATATTTTTACTACCGGCACTGTGGGTGTGGCGAGATGGGCGTGGCCACGTGACTGCGTCGGCGTGGCTTCTTCTTTTTCCAGTACGCCCCCACGCTCTGTTGTTGTTGTTTTGCCTCCTGGGCCTCAGGGAAGCTTCCTGGGTGAAGCAGTAAGACAGCGCGGGGGATCCTGGCACAGCTGATCATCGGAACAGCTGATCGTCAGGAGGAAAAAAAATACCAGTTTGGCTGAACCGGGAGCTGTTTTGTTACTACTGGTTCAGCCGAACAGTAACATTTTTTTACTACTGGTTTGCCTGAACTGGGCCAAACCGGTAGAATACCACCACTGGTGAGTGTGCAATGCTGGGGGGGAGGGGGCCCTGAAAGGTGGGAGGCCATGCGGGAAGGAGCAGAATTCCCGCCTCGAGTGCAAGGGAGAAGAAGGGGGAAATGAGAGGTCCCCCCCTCCCACCGGCATCCCCGCAGAAGGGGCCCCTCTCTTTGCCCCTCCTCCCCGAGATTCTGCTGCGGGATCCGTCTGTCTGGCCGAGAGGAGATGGAGGATCTCTTGGGAAGGCTGACCATCCTCTGGGACAGCATATCCCCTGCTCCTTCCTCCCCCCCCCCCGGCCCTTCAGCCTTCCCCAGGAGAGAAGGTGTTAAATACGCACGACGCCACATGTACAGGAGCCTACGTCATAGTGGCTGAAGTGTTGTAGCCGGCGCTGGCCGCGTTTGTGGGCTTTTTGAATCCGGTTTGTAAATAAGAGTTTCTAGCATTCCTGAGTCCTCTTCCTTCCTGATCTGTGCCCATTTAACAGAGCGTCCACTTCGCCCAAGGGGGGGGGGGCTGGGGGACACCCCAAGGGAGGCGCCTAGGCTGGCCGGTGTGTCACGAAGGCCGAGGCTGGAGCAGAGCAGCTCCTCAGAGCAGGGGAGAGGGGGGTCTCTCTGGTTCTCGTCCTGTCAAGAAGGGGGGGCTCTCCAATGCCTCTGCCCCCCCCCAGCCCCCCAAGGAAGACCCTTCCTGAGGCCTCCTTCCCTTTTGCAGGAACTCCCTGAGGGCTCCGTGGAAGAAGCTCGGCCTGCTTTGTGCCGAACGGAGAGAGAGGCTGGTTCAGGAGGAGACCAGGCGCAGGAAGCCTCCAGGCGCCTCCAGGAGGGAGGGGGGACTCTGGAATAAATCCTTGCCCGAAGGAGACGGTGGTCTCAGGTGCTCTGTGTGTCTCTTTCCCTGGCAAGGGGAAGGGGGTGCAGGCTGCCCCCCACTTCACTATTAAACACAGAATTTGCCACATCGGCCAGGCACGTTTATGCTGGTTTTTATTTATTTGTTCATTTGTTTGTCAAACATGAACAAGATAACAAGTATGAACATAAACAAGAACAAAAGGAAGTAGATACAGATAAATTGGGACGGTAAGACAGGGACGGTAGGCACGCTGGTGCACTCGTGCACGCCCCCTTTAAGGACCTCTTAGGAATGGGGTGAGGTCCCCCTTAGGGAGTTTGAGGTTGAAGCTGTGAGGGGTTGAGGGGCTGTAACCATGGAGTCAGGTAGGGCATTTCGGGCATTGACCACTCCGTTGCTGAAGTCGTATTTTCTGCAATAGAGTTTGGAGCAGTTTACTTTGAGTTTGTATCTATTGTTTGCCCGTGTGTAATTGCTGTTGAAGCTGAAGTAGTCGTTTACAGGGAGGGTGTTGTAGCAGACAATTTTGTGTACTAAGCTTAGATCGGACTGTAGGCGGCGTAGTTCTAGGTTGTCCAGGTCCAAAATTTCACGTCTTGACGGCATAAGGTATTTTATTGCAAGCGGAGGAGTGGAGTCCTCTTCTCGTGAAATACCTCTGGATTCATTCGATTGTATCAATGTCCGATATACAGGGTGGATTCCAGGCGGACGAGCTGTATTCCAGAATTGGTCTGGTGAAGGTTTTGTATGCCCCGGTTTGCAGTTCAATGTTACTAGAGAAGAAGCTTCATAAAATTAGGCTAACAATTCTTAATGCCTTTTTGGCAATGCTGTTACTCTGAGTTCTGGGGCTTAGATCGTTTGAGATAAGTCCTCCTAGGTCCTTGACAGAGTGAGGGTCGTTTATGACAGAGGTTGCCAACTGGTGGGCCAGATACCACTGGTGGTCTGCAAGAAAATATTGGGGGGTCTGCAGAGAAGTGTCCCCCCCAAAGCAATTCGAGTCAGTCTCACTCCTGGCCCACCCCCTGCGGTTTTCTTGGCAAGGTTCCTTAGAGGGGTTTGCCATCGCCTCTTTCCTAGGGCTGGGGGAGAGTGGCCGGCCCAGGCTGGCTTGGTGACCACGGCAGGACTGGAACTCACAGTCTCCTGCTTTCCCGCCCGGTGCTTTCACTGGGAGGCCGAAATGGCTCCCGCTTGTTCGATGGGCTCCGCATAATCAGTTCACAACCTGCCTCCCGATGCAGCCCAAACCTCCTCCTGGGCCTGCAGGGGGTGCTGAGTCAGCAGGAATGCGGCCTCCGTGGGACTTGAACTGGTCACTCCTCTCCCTCTAGGAGACGCCCCCAACACACCCACAAGGAGAAGCCCCTCCCTCTGCACGTGTCCACCCCTCAGGATTCCAAGCCAAAAGGAAGGAATTCAATTAGAGATTAAAATTAAGAAAACCTTTATGGTCATTTTTTACTGTCAGCACTCTGGCCACATTCAAAATGAAACTCTGTTGCCTGCTATCAAAGAAAAATATATCTCTAGCCATCCTCATACATAACACACACACACACACACATACACACACACATGCCACATACATACATAGAGACATAGAGATATTCAAGAATACATACACACAACTTGTTTGGAAAATAGGTTGACCCCTCTCTTCTTAGTGGCAGCCCCTCAAATACTGGAACACTGCTATTGTGTCACCCCAATCCTCCTTTTCTCTAGGCCAGCCAAACCCAGTTCCCACAACCCCTTTATATTTCCTACTTTAACCTTTTCTTGAACCAGATACACATAAAAACCCCTTGGTCAACTCTACTGTTCCCATCAAGATCCCCCAGTGCCCGTTTATGAGCAGATCCAGCCCACTAATTTTATTAAGGGTCACCACAGAAACTGAGCTCAAACACAACAGAATTTGTGGCTGGAACAGTAGAGTTATCCAAATGCAGAACTAAACACCTCTGCCTTGCCTGGGAGAAGAGAATTCCACACCAACTGAATTCAGGTATTAGATTCAGGATCGTTCTGGTGAGGAGAATGGTGGAATTTTGATGGTGTAAGTAAACTGATTTCTTGGACCGTCTCTGGCTAAGGAGGAGATTGCCCACATGTGCCCCAGGCAGCTGCTCCTCATCAGGAGATAACAAGACAGGTTTTCCATGGCTTTGGGCACAGGGAGATGGTGGGATTAGCCATCTTGCTCACATCTGTGGCAGAGTCTTTTAAAGGACACTGAGTTTGCAAATGTCAGTTTCTAATCATTTCTCATGAGCTACTTCTAAGTTATTAGAAATCTTTGGAGTGACCAGTCTCCCTTCAAACCTGAGTGGAGGAACATTTTGATCATAAACTTAACAATGTAAAGTATCCAAAATAAACAGCAAAGAGCTACGTAAGATGACTAAGGGTCCAGATGAAATTGGAATATTGGTGTGCTCAGTACAGCAATTGTACACATTCTGTTGTGATTGAGCTCAGTTGCCGTGGTGTGCTCCATAAAATTAGTGGGCTGGATCTGCTCGTAAACAGGGCACTGGGGGATCTTGACGGGAACTCTACAGTCAACCAAACTCAAAACTCAACTCTTCTGTCTTGAAGAAGAGAATTTTAGCACCAGCTGAATTTGGGTACTAGAATTTAGAGGACATTTAAACTTAACCTACAATAAAAAGTGCAGAGAAGAGCAACCAGGATGATTAAGGGACTGGAAGCTAAAACATATGAGAAGAGAAGGACCAGGGGAGACAAGATAGCATCTTTTGATTTAAAAATAAATAGTAAGATGAAAAACTGGAAAATTGGACTAGAAAGAACTGAACATTACAATTTAGGAGACACTTAAACTTAGCCTACAACAAAAGAACCAAGCAAAATATTTCAGCACTGGAGATGTTGAAGGTCCCATGCTGAACCACAGAGCCGGATGTTAATTCTAAGGGCCCATCTGCCTTGGTAGGTGGACTGTGTGTGGACGAGGTCGTGGAAGGGGAAGAGACCACCAGACAAGGTGGGGAATGAGATCTCCGCCTGGAGAGAAACACGATTTCCTACAAGAAGGACAAGGAAAAAGAGGCTGCACTGGACGGGCAAGGTGTCTTCATAAATAAAAGGGATATAGAAAGGCTAAGTTAAGACAGCGACCAGATAATTTTCTCTGCTAGAATTCCAAAACGGGCTTGTTAAAGGTTGGAAAACTTTTCTGAGGGAGAAAAAGAAATGAAAAGAAATTAAATTCTGCAACGTTATTTGAAAGGACAAAAGATCAAAATCGTTCAAAGTCAAAACCAGACTAAACACTGGGAAAGTTCTCTCCTTAGCCCTGAAAGTGGCTGGGTGACTCTGAGCCAATCGCCAGGAGATGGGAGTTGTAGTCCACGGAGCCCTCCCGGCCACTCCGCCCGCCGACGTTTCCCCGCCGGACCCCCGGGGGAGGCAACCTTCCCCGCCGGAGCCATCCGGAGGCGCGGGGCGGGAGGGGCGGGACGGGGCGGGGGGGGGTTGCTCTTAGCGCCGGAGAGGAGGCGGAGGAGGCTCAGTCGCACAGCCGTCGCCATGGGGTCCGGTCGCAGCCCCCTCCCGCTCCTCTTGGGGGTCGCCTTCGCCCTCTGGAGCCCCCTGCTCTCCCGGCGGGGCAGCTGTGAGTGGGGCGAGGCGGGAGGGGGGGCGGGGATGCCCCGTCCAGAGGGGTCTTCGGTTGGGGGGACCCCGAGAGCCCCGCCCCGTCGGAACGCCCCAGGTGGAGCCTCCGGGATGCGCCCCGGACGCCCAAGAGGGATCCCCCCCACCCGCACTCTGCTCTGCGCCCCCCGAGACCCCCGTTGGGCTTCCCTGGACGCGGGAACAGCCGCCCTCCGTCCCCCGCGAAGCCCCAGACGGGAGAGGGGCGATCCAGACTCTGCCGGGCGGGCACTCCTTCGGACAAGACCCCGGCTGCCCAAGGACGCCGCCCACCTCGGGGCCCTCGCCCTCCGGACG